GGAGAGTCTGGTGCGACAGGAGGCGACACGAACAGGGGGTGGCTACCTGACCTGACGCGGACACCTGACCAGCAGCAGCTACCTGAGGAGGCGCAATAGTCAGAGTGTACAAACTCGACCCTTGCCTACGGGTGAACGTGGCCAGGTGGCGACCAGTCCGGGAGCATGTACGGATCGCCACACGCTGCCTTCCAGGAGTAAAGGTATTAACCAATGCATCCTGAAGGATTGAGTTGCTCACCAAGTTCGTAGAGAACGAGGGGAGGTGAAAACCTGACAGTGAGCCAGACACGAGAGCACAGTAGTGGACTGTGCAAGAACTGGGCCCCCTGAGGGGTCAGCCAGAGACACTGCAACAGGTGCAGGGAGTGGTGTGAGTGCGGTACTGTCGCGAAAGAAGCGGGGGTAAGCACCTGAGTCAAGCGTGAAGATATGCAAGCCCTCAGCAGGCGCAGTACCTGAGAGAGCAGACTCGCTCGCACCTAAGGCAGCAGCCTCTATACCTGGGTCGGGCGGCACACACAGGTAACAGTCACCCTCAGCACTAACAGTCAATGCATACATGGCAGAAATGATAGTATTCCAGTCAAGATATCAACACCCGACCTAAGCAGCTCTAGCCAGCGGGGCGCTCAGTCTCGTCGCCAAACTCCTCGCGCCAGGCGTCGTCAAGACAGGAGAAGCAGCGGTACTGGGTGCGCAGCTTCCCGCATGTCTGACCAGCGCGGTCACCTGTGCGAATGACATACGGGCAGCGACCACTACCCCCAGAAGCCCAACGCTGAGCAAACCACTCACGAAGCTGCTGGGGCGTAAGGGTCTCACGAGGACGCTGCTGCTGTTGCCTCTGGCCAGCGCCAGAACCTCCACTCCGACCGCCACCACTGCCGCCACCACCTCCGCCACGACCATCACTGCCGCCGCCACTGCCACCACTCCCACTGCCACCACCGTTGCCACCGCCGCCACCACCATTCCTACCGCTGCCGCTACCGCCGCCACCAACGCCTCCACTCCCGCCACCACTCCCACCGCCACCTCCGCCACCTCCACCGCCTCCACCACCTCCGCCACCACCCCCCCCGCTGCCACCTCCACCACTCTTGCCTCCCTTGCCCTTGCCGCTGCGGCGCTTCCCACTAGGAGCAGAAGCAGCCCCGACCTCCTCAGCACCAAGGAAGTCAACAGCAGCAGCAGCAGAAGCGTAGGAGGGGGCAAGAGGGGAAGGGAGCACCCCTAAAAAAAGGGTGTGCGAGGAGTGCCAAGAGTAGCACCTACAGCGACTATGCTAGCCTCAGCTGCAAGGAGGTGCTTCTCGAGCAGGTCGACAGTGAGGTCTGTGGGGTTAAGTGCGAGAAAGTGATCCCCGACTACGCAAAGAGAGTCAAGGAGGCGGGTGACTATGAAGTAAAGCGTGATGTACATCGGGGGTGGGTTCGTGTCTAAGAACTCAGCTGGGAGGGCGGCGCGATAGCGAGTGTCACTAGAGCGAAGGTGGGTGATGAGGTCATGAACTGTGGCAAAGGAGGACAGCTCGGGAAACAGGTAGGGCAGGATAAGGCGGCCGAGAACAGCAGTGGCAGGAGAGGAGTAGCGAGCGACTACAGCATCGTACAGGGCCTTAGCAGTCTTGTACTGACCAAAGTGAGCGCGTTCGGCTAACGGCAGGTGGTTGCGAACGGCTAGGCGAGCAGCAGCGTCACGGGTGAGCCACTGTGAGCGAGTAAGACCGTCAGCTGTGACGGGAGGAGCGACTGAGGAACCAGACGTGTGGTCAAGCAGGGATACGCTGTCCTTAGCATCGCTCATGAGGTACAGCTGCAGGTCTTCGAGCCATGTTTCGAACTGAATCGGACGGCCCTCAGGATCGAACGAAAGGACGTTGAGAGTAGCCATAGCTGGGTGGCGCGTGACTAGCGGGGCAGAGCGCGTGCAAGGTAGAGTGACGCGCGAGCAGGGCAGGGCGGCGCGTGGTTAGAAAGGGCGACGCACGGCCAGGCAGGGCGGCGCGCGACCAGCAGGGGATGCTCGGGTTGCAGGAGCGGCGCGCAGGCAAGCAGGGGAGGCGCGCGGCCAGCAGGGGCGGCGCGCAGGCAAGCAGGTGCGGCGTGCGGGCAAGCAGGGTGGCGCGGGCGCAGACAGCGCGGCCAGCAGAGTGGCGCGCGGGCAGTAGCGGGCGGCGCGCGGCAGGCAGGGGCGGCGCGCGGGGCAGCAGCAGGGTGGCGCGGCACGCGGGGAAGTAGAGGGCGGCGCGCGGCAGGCAAGGGCGGCGCGCGGGGCAGTAGCGGGCGGCACGCGGGGCAGTAGCAGGGCGGCGCGCGAGCTGCAGGGGCCGTGCGCGAGCAGGCAGGGGCGGCGTGCGGGGCTGCAGGGGGCAGCGCACGGGCTGCAGGGGCTGCGTGCGGGCAGGCAGGAGTGGCGCGCGGCCAGCAGGGGGCGGCGCGCAGGTGGCGTGCGCAGGGCAGCACGACGCTGAGCAGGGCAGGGCGCGCGAGGAGCAGCGCGGCCTAGGGTAGGGCGTGGGGTAATGCGGTAAACGCAGTCGGTATGGTGGGCACGGAAAAAAAAAAAAAAAAAAAAAAAAAAAAAAAAAAAAAAAAACGGTCCTACAGACCTACTGCTCTGAAACTATGTCAAAACTAGCAAACAAGAATGATTGAATTGAGTAGAAAAGTTCTGGGTACAAGTACTAACCCTAATTTGGGTTGTACCCCATATAGGCTACCCCACTACAGCCTAAACAACACAGTATAACAGTTTGACAGGAGGAAGAAGGGAAAAGGAGAGACACGAAAGCGCTCGAGTGAGTGGGAGAGAGAGAGAGAGAGTAGGAGAACGAGAAGGGAGACGAAAGGTAGTGAGTGAAGTGAGTAGGGATGCGGGGGAAGGGCCGTGTTCTGTATATAATGGGAATGCTGGCCCTGGCCGCAGCAAATCATGTTGCACCTTTCAAAGGAGAAAGGAGTTACTGGTAGTAACAATCAATTAGGCACTTGAGCACTCACCAACACTAGCGTATTCCCCTGTTGTGACGGCAAAAAGAGTAATAGCAGCAGTAGCGGGAGCAGCAGCAGAAGGCGTAAAGGCGTAATCTGAAGCAGCAGTGGCAGCAGCAGGCATAAAGGCGCGACTTGGAGCCTCCGGGGTTCGTGTGAAGGGCGAAGAGACATTAGCCAAGGCGAGGTAGGACCTGGCTTCATCCAGAGTCTCAAAGCTCTTGTACTCGTTGCCTCTGAAATTATTCACCTGGGAGAGATTATAACGAGGACATTGTACATTCGATATGGTGGACTGGGCTGGGCAGTGTGTGTCCGTTGCATATAGCGATAATATGCTCAATCCAATTTTTGAGAATTCTCAAAATAGGGAAAAGGAGAACCTGCATTGTTGTCATCTGGACTTGGGGGTTGATTGAGAGGTGGCCTGGGGGTGAGAAAAGGACGTTCGTTTTTTATTCATCTAACACGGTTATGTTCAGTGTGTGTTGCGTTCTTGGGCAGCAATGCGAGGGAACCGTGATATAGCTTGAGGAACCGAACTGAACCGCACGAGACAGCAAAGATAAAATACCTAGCAAACCGGAACGCCACGAAATTAATACCCAACTACAGCTGCTTACCTGCCGTTGACATTCCGGCCACGTCAGATAAATCCCTGGCTGGAATCCCTTCCGAACCGCGTAGTACTTCTTAGGCATTAGGTTCTACGCCAGTTGCGGGACGCGGCGGTCGTCAGTGCATGCAACGCCGAAACGCCTCCTAAGCTTCTGCGATACGGGCCAACAGCGTCACGTTGCGCCTAGTGACAATATCAAAGTGCGACGATCTCGGGGGTAGAAACTGCAATTTCGAATGCCGTCACCAACAGCCGAATAAGCCGCGGTGCAATCAGATTTGTTAGGGTTACAGATGTTCACAAATATTTGCATACGATATCTTGTAGTATTCGTGATCAGTCCCATCCCCATCAGGCCCTCAGATATCAGGATAAATTATCCTGATTACCCTGATTTCAGGATAGAGTTGGGGTGCCAGTGCTGGAAAATCAGGATAACATAAAATACAGCCCTGAACTTTCAGTATTAGGCTGTATCCTACACTGAGGAATTAAGATAAAGGTGTACCTGTAACACTGAACAGTAGCACAGAAATGTCTTATAACAAGAAAATCACGTCCGTTCACACAGTCCGCAATGCGCGACGCAAGCGGGAATCGATCTCCATACTTCCACTGTGACAATTCGCAGATTCAAACAACTAGGCCATGACCGAGCTGCACGGGAAACCGTGCTGATATTTGCTTGTTTTAATCATGATAGCCCTGAAAAATCAGGGAAACCATTACATCCAGCGCTGAAGCCTCAGGATAAAGTTTTATATTTTAGGATACAGCCCTGATAGGTCAGGGTACTCTGAAACCAATCTGAGGCCCTGATCCCCATATTGTAGGATAAAACTTTCTTACTCACATTTCACACCCTATTCCTTGGCGAGGTGACTCTACCACCCTGTTAGTGTTTGCTGTCAAGAGTATAAACTGTTATGAATCTGGCTATTGCAGCATTGGTTATCAATTGAAGTCCTGCAGGTACCTGGCTTCTGTTGATACCTTACCAGCATTAAAGCTACCATTCAAAAGCTGCAGACACGAGCACAGTTATCGTGCCCAGGCTGCTGTGCTGGTCTGACTGGCATGCTAGCGTACGTTATAATAAAAAAACGTTGCACAGTGTAGAGAATGGCAGTGATGCGCCGTGCTCCGAGGAGAGAAGGGGGTGGGGGTGGCATGATTTATTATTCGCTGCCTCCCTGCCATCCTCTCTGCCTCCCACCCTGCCTCCCTGCCACACTGCCTCACAACCTCCCACCCATTTTGGATGGCGAAATGCGGTTGAGACACTGGAGCCGACGGGCTTGCCCAATAGATCAATCACGATTGATGAAGACGGGCGAGAGAGGGAGAGGGAGGGAGGGATAGTCGCTGCCTCCTGCCTCACTGCCTCACTGCTTCCCACCCATGAGCGGATGGTGCAATGCGGGTGAGTAGGTGGTGCCAATGGGTCGTGCCCGATGAGTGGCAAAGAGGGAAACAGCAACGGATGTAGCGAGGAGGGCGAGAGAGAGGACGAAGAGAGCGAGGGAGGTCGAGGAGATGTCTTTAAAGGAAGAGAGCGAGCTGAAAAGGGGGAAGGGAAAGGGGACGGGAAAGGGGGGGATGGAAGATTGGAGGAATATATATACAAGTGGCTGTGGAGGAGAGGGTAATGAAGAGAGCGAGGGAGGTGGAGGAGATGTCTTCAAAGGAAGAGAGTGAGCTGCAGGGGGGAAGAGAACAGGGGGGTGAAAGAGGGGAGGAAATATCAAAGAGTAAATTTGAGAAGGTGCTAGAGAGAGGGAAATGGGGGATGAGAGTGAGGAGGGAAAGGAGGATGAGCGATAGAAGGAAAAGGTAGATGAGAAACTGCTAGACGGAAGGAAAACCTTACCTGAAACGAAGGCTGTTTCTCCCATGCGTCTCCCCCTCCCTATCCTTGTGCCACTGCTTGATCCACTTCTGTATGTGCTTCTTCTCCCCCTTCCTCTCCTCCCTCCTCAGACTCACCTGCAACGAAGGCCATTCCTCCCTTGCTCCTTGTCCTTCTTCTCCTCTTCCCTATCCTTGTGCCACTGCTTGATCCACTTCCTGACGTGCTTCTTCTCTTCCTTCCTCTGCTTCCGCACCGAAGGGGGGTCGTCTGGGGTGGACGCCCTTAGGTCCAGGTGGTGGGCGCCTGAAACAAAGGAGTGAGGAGGCATGAAGGTACCCAATGCTTGATCCACTTCTTGATGTGATTCTTCTCCTCCTTCCTCTGCTTCTGCACCGAAGGTGGGCGTCTGGGGTGGACGCTCGCAGGTTCAAGTGGTGAGCGCCTGGAGAGGGAGGGGAGAGAGGGGAGGTGTAAGGAGGAAGGAACGATGGAAGCATGTACTAGTTACACCACTTTGAATGTGCTTCTTCTCCTCCTTCCTCTGCTTCCGCACGGAAGGTGGGTCATCTGGGGTGGACGCCCTTAGGTCCAGGTGGTGGGCACCTGGGCGAGGGAGGAACGGAGAGAAGGGTGGTGGAGTGGAAGGAGGGAGGGGTAAATGCACGCAATGCTTACACCACTTCAAAAGTGTGACTTCTCCTCCTTCCTCTGCTTTTGCACTGAAGGGGGGTCGTCTGGGGTGGACGCCCTTAGGTCCAGGTGGTGGGCACTGGGGGAGGGGAAGACGGAAAGGAGGGCGGAAGAGAGGGGAGGAGTGCGGAGGAGGGAGAGGTGATGTTACACCGCTTTCGAAGTGTTTATTTACCTCCTTTTTTCTGCATCTGCACCGAAGGTGGCTCGTCTGGGGTGGACGCACGCAGGTCCAGGTGGTGGGCACCTGGGGGAGGGGAAGATACAAACCCTTAAGCCAAATAGTGGGTACTCTTGGGGTACGAAAGTGGAGCAGGAGAATGGGAAGGAAGGCAGGGTCGTGTGGAGAGGAGAGGCAGTCAATGGGGGAGAGGGAAAATCAGGTGTGCACACACCTTCTCAAAGTTCTATTTTTTCTTACCTCTCGAAAAATGGACTACAGATCAAGCTCTAAGGTGATTGCGAACCAGAGCAACAACAGGAGGAACATCAAGCCTTTGGCGGAACAGACTTGAAAAAACACTGGACCGCCTTTTTACTTGGGTCACTACAAACCCACCGTCAGGAATGGTGAGGCTGACTAGGGTGTCTGATATGTCCTCAAGCACTCTGATTGGTGGAAATGGGTGGAAATGGGTGGAAGGGAGAAAGAGGGATAAACGAGAGGGCAGAGGAGGGGAGGGGGAGAGGCTAACTAGGCTGTCTGAAATGTCCTTGAGCACTCCGAATGGTGGAAATGGGCGAGGTGAAAGGTAGAATGAGGGGATAAACGAAAGGGGGAAAAGGGGGAGGGGAGGCAGGAGAGAGAGGAGGGAAAGTGGGGCGAGTAGCAGGAGGGGATGTGGGGAAAGTGTCTGGGCATGAGGAGGGTAAGCGTTGGATGGGAGGGGTGGGTTTTGTAGGGTTGGATTTCATCAAGTGTTTTAGATGTCAGGTAGGAGTTGGAGCATGAAATGCATGCAGTTCAAGAGCAAGAGAGGAGACAAGGGAGAGGAGGGATAAGCATGCAATGTGGAAAAAAAAAACAGTTTGCGTGCAACAGGCGTTATCGCTTTACAAACGCCTGAGGGAGCTCAAAACCAGTGAAATAATGTGCTTCGAGAATGTATCTAGCATCCAGGCTGGAAGCACATTATTTTACTGGATTTGATCCCACACCAGAGGCACTTGCACAGCGATAATGCTTCTTGAACACGGCAAATTTCCTTTTTTTGTGTCTCCTGTTTATATGCAAAATACATGGGATGCCTTATGCAGCAATATTATGCATCAAAGTACAAAATCACACAAAACGCACCATGCAAGCACACCAAGGATGTTATATCCGCTGGCTTCAAGCTCTTTAGCATTTTAGATGTTTGTTATTGACGCTTATTCCCCTGCAAGGCTTAGAGTAGTTTTTAACTGGTTCATAATATCCCCTTCACGAAACATAACAAAGAATACAATATCATAATTACCCAATCCCTCTTAGTCCCACCCAATCACCAATTTAAAAGGAATGATAGAAGGGGATGGAAACGAAACGATGGAGGAGGGAGGAAAAGGGGCAATGGGGAAGGCAACTCACCCGCCTCCACTCCAGGGGTCAAGGGCCCCCTGGGAGAACACAATGTTGCTGCCGAAATGGCGCAGGGCTGAACGGATGGACTGTGAATGGGGGAGATGGGGGGAGGGAGGGGTTGAGCAGGAGGGGAGAAGGGGAAAATTTAGGTTTCCGGGTTTAGGGGAACAGGCTGCTGTGTGATGCGGTGCTGTGCAGTGCCATGTGGTGCGGTGTGGTGTGCCCACTCACCCGCCCGCCGAACTGAACTGGGTGATGCCCCAGGTGGGTGGGAGAGGCATGCCGTTCTGCTGCAAGCAGTATTTCTCAAAGGGACTGTTGTTAGCGTTCCGTGCTCATGGGCCATGACTCAATCCGTGCTCCGGATTGAGTCATTGCCCAGGTGGGTCGGGGAGGCATGCCATACTGCTGCAAGCAGTGCTGCTCAAAGGCCATCTGATTGAGTTTCGAACAGGCTGTTGCTGCAGGCATTGCTGGGATGCACTGCGGTGCTGTGCGGTGTAATAGATCACTCACACGTCCGCCGAAGTGGGTGAATGGCCCAGGTGGGTCGGGAAGGCATGCCGTACTGCTGAGAGCAGTGATGCTCACAGGCCGTCTGATTCCATTCAGGTGGCTCAAACATGATGCTGTGTGATTCAGTGATGTGCAGTGCAATGCGGTGCTGTGCAATGCAGTGCTGTGAAATGCGGTGCTGTGTGGTGGGCCGGCTCACCCGTTTGCCGAACTGCGACATGGCCCAGGTGGGTCTGGGAGCAGCACTGTACTGCTGCAAGCAGTTTTCCTCAAAGGCCGTCTGATTCCACCCGAAGGAATCGAACAGACTGCAGTGTGATGCGGTGCGGTGCTGTGCGGTGTAATAGATCACTCACCCGTCCACCAAACTGTGTCATAGCCCAAGTGGGTCTGGGAGCAACGCCGTATTGCTGCAAGCAGTGCTTCTCAAAGGCCGTCTGGTTCCACTCAAAGGGCTCAAACAGGCTGTTGCTGGCGCTGCTGCTCATCGGCATCACGTGCTCCGTGCATGCCTGGTGGGATGATGACGGGAGTGAAGGGGGAGGTGGGGGAGGGGAGGAGACGGGGAGAAGCAAGCAGTGCTCCTCAAAGGCCGTCTGATTCCACTCAAGCGGCTCAACGAGGCTGTTGCTGGCGTTGCTGCTCTTCGGCATCACGTGCTCTGTGCATGCCTGGTGGGATGACAGGAGGGAGACGTGGGAGAGAGGAGGGAGAGAGGAGTGGAGGCAGAAGGGAGGGATAAGATGCTGTTGCTGGCGTTGCTACTCGTAGGCATCACGTGCTCCGTGTATGCCTGGGATGGTAGAAGAGAGGGGGAGAGGGGACGGGGAAAAACACACGCACACACACGCGCTCGCGCATTTTGGACAGACAAGCAAAAAGGCCCGCAAGCACTTGCGACTTTGTGTCACTTAGTGGACAAGTGTGCCCCCAATATGAATGTGTGTTATGCCAGGGGGGCCGTTATCGCGGAAAATAAAGGACGCCTCAGAGCCCGAGTAGTTATAATACACGCCCATCTCAGCACACACATGGTGCAGAGGGCTGGCACACACATGGTGCAGGGGGCTGGCACCAGGCAGGCTGCTGTACCTGGAACTCCCACCCACTGGCCATGCCATGGGGGTTTCAGGTATCGCGCACGCTGAAGCATGACTCAGAGCCCGAGTAGTTGTAATACACCCCACTCCAGGACACACGCTGCAGGAGGCTGGCACTAGGCAGGCTGACAAATCTGGAAGTCCCACCCATTGGCCATGTCATGGGGATTGGTACCGCGCACGCTGAAGCACGCCTCAGCGCCCGAGCAGTTGTGATACAGGCTCACACCCCACCCCGGCATACACACCCTCTAGGAGGTCAGCACTTGGGGTCAGTCCCACCCAACCATTGACCATACCTGGAAGTCCCACCCATTGCTCATGTCATGCGGATCGGTATCGCGCACGCTGAAGCACGTCTCCGAGCCCGAGTAGTTGTAATACACTCCCACCCCCGCATAGATGCGATCGAGCAGGTCGGCACCTGGGGGAAGGCTGTCAACGCGTCGACACAGCTGAGCGCATGGAGCAGTGCACGAGGGAAGGGAGTGGAGCAAAAGGGTCACAATAAGTGGGCTGAAGTGAGGGTCGAGTAGCACTTGTAATACATGCCCACCCCGGCAGCAATGCAATCGAGACACGCCCACCCTGGCAGCAATGCAATCGAGACACGCCCACCCCGGCAGCAATGCAATCGAGACACGCCCACCCCGGCAGCAATGCGATCGAGAAGGTCGGCACCTGAGGGCAGGCTGTCAACGCGCTGACACAGCTGAGTGCATCGGGCACGGGGGTACGGGTAGGGAGTGAAAAGGCGGTATGTTGAAGCACAGGCATGCACGTTCATTCACCACATCTGCACCTTTTGAATGGAGACTATTCATACCGTTCGAATATCCAAAAACGGCATTTAAGGTTTTTTGTTTTAGCGGTGATACCTCTCAAATGGGGTGTGCGGGCAGCGGCATGAGGAAATCAGATGGCACAGGGTAGTCCACCATTGCAGACCATGCATGCTATTGTAGTAACCCCCAACTTACGACATAAGGGTACCTCCCGATAGCGTACCTCTCGAATAGGGTGGGCGGGCAGTGACATGAGGAAATCGGAGGGCACGGGGTAGTCCACCATTGCCATGTAGATGTATGCCGTCTCCAGCCACTGAATCAAGTCTTCCACATCGGTCAGGGGGCTGGGAGCGAAGACGGGGAGGAAAGGAAGAGGAGAGAGGGGGACGAGTCAGAGGGCACTGCGTAATCCACCATTGCCATGTAGATGTATGCTGTTTCCAACCATGAGATAAGATCATCTGCATCGGTCAAAAGGCTGAGAACCAGGAGGGAGGAGAGGAGAGGACGGGTGAGGGGAGAAAGAGGAATTTAGAGGGCATGGGATAGTCCACCTTTGCCATGTACATATATGCTGTCTCGAACCATGCAATCAAGTCCTCTGCATCAGTCAGGGAGCTGGAGGAGAGGAAGACCGAAGGCGGGAAGAGAGAAGGGAAGTCATGCGGGGAGGGGAGAATGAGGAAGTCAGAAGGCACGGGGTAGTTCAACGTGGCCATGGATACGTATGCTGACTCCAGCAACTCGATCAAGTCGCCTGCGTTAGTCAGGGGACTGGGAGGAGAAAGAGGAGGATAAGAGTGGGGAGGAGGAGACAGAGAGTCGGGGGCACGGGGTAATCCACCATTGCCGTGTGGACATAGGAGGTTTCCAACCACTCAATTAGGTCGTCTGCATTGGTCAAGGGACTGGGGTAAAGGGTGCGAGGAGGGAGGAGAAGGTAAGTCAGAGGGGACAGGGTAGTCCAGCATGGTCATGTAAATGTATGCCGTATCCAGCCACTCAATCAGATCATCTGCATCAGTCAGGAGACTGGGGAGATGGGATAAGGGAGCAGACGAGGATTAAAACCAGGGTCTCACGTAAGAGAAATCGTCATCAACTGCAAAACAATCGACCCTTAGTCACCCTGTTTGAGGCGGCGAAGCCCAGAGGTTGGTCTGGCAATTGATTGTGTGACACCTGACGGTTTTTGCCAGTGAAGCAATTGCAAAACATTTCGATGGTACATGAGACTTACAGAATGCTCGCACAAATTGCTGGTGTTCTAGCTTTGGCATCGAACGAATTTCCGTGCCTGGTTGGTTCGGACACAAAGTGCGATTTGTGTTTACTTCGCTGCCCTCGCCACACCCCTCGTTATTCTTTGCACCTCGCCAACCAATCCCAGACAAGGTCAAGCCATCAACAGCAAAACAATCGATCTATGTGAGACCCTGGTTTTAAGGGAAGAGGGGAGGCATGGCGGAGTCAGAAGGCACGGGGTATTCCACCATTGCCATGTATATGTAAATCGTCTCCAACCATTGAATCAGCTAGTGAGCATTGAAATCGTCCTCAAAGCCTTGTATATTGTAAGCCCATCTCTACCACTGAATCGTCCTCCCTGCAGCCGCAAAACGACGATCATGCTACTGCTAGAACCCTAAGTCCGTTGTCAGCTCCTACCCTGTTCACGGATCCTGCCTACAACCTCCTCATCGCGGCCGTTTGCAAACGCTGGCGCACTCTAGCTCGCCATCAGGTTTCCATAGTCTCTGTGAAGGAAGGCATTGTCGTTTTGCTCCAAGATCTCACCGCTGTCATTAGGTGCTTCCCCAACCTCTCACATCTGCACATCAGCGACGACAGTGTGTGTGGAGACAATGAACAACGAGGACTTCATCGATGTCCTCGCGTCGTCATGCCCTAAACTGGTTTCCCTGCACGTGAGGGATTCAATCGCGCCGCACGACTGGGGCAAGCGGGTGGACGAGTATCCGGTGACCGAAGCTGGATTGGACCCCTTCATCCGTCGTTGCACTCAACCACAACACCTCTCGCTCTACTGCTCGCATCCATACGGCAAGCTGCCGGATGCCCTCTCGCTGCTCGCCAACCTGCACACTCTCATTCTTACAGAAGCTTCGCCTCTTGAAGCCTCTGGATTTTCGAGACTGTCTGTTCTCACCGCCCTCTCCATCTAATATATGTATGCCGTCTCTAACCACTGGATCAGCTCGTCAGGAGGGAGGGGAACAGAATGACAAGGGACTGGGAGGGGGGAGGGAACGAGGAGGAGAAGAGGAGGATGGGAGAGGGAAGGAGTCAGCGTGGGGGGCATGCCCCACTCACACGCCTCACCTGCACAGGTGACTTCTGAGTCGACTCAAAGGTCACCTCAATTGGGAAGGAGTCGTCAGCGTGCACTAGGGGCATGCCCCACTCACACGCCTCACCTGCACAGGCGGAACTGCACTAACAGGCGGGAGAGCCCTGCCTCAGCTGTTGCTTGCTCCCTGATTGCCGCCCAGCTACGGCACCAACTGAGGTAACAACCATCTCGGCTCCTTTCTTGCCTATGCACTTCACTCACCTGCACAGGCAGAACTGCTCTAAAAGGCGGGTGAGCCCTCCCTCAGATGATGCCTCCTCCCTGACCGCTGCATCTTCCCTGGTTGACGCCCAGCTATGGCAACGACTTTGGCAACAGACCATGTAGGGTGTTTCTCTTGCTCCTCACCTGCAAAGGTGGAACTGGTGTGACAGCCGCGTGAGCCCTCCCTCAGCTGCTGCCATGCGCCATGTATACAGCCCTCTGAGAATCCCTCACTCACTCACACACGTCTCACCTGCACAGGCGGAACTGCTCTGAGAGGCGAGTAAGCCCTCCCTCAGCTGCTGCCTGCTCCCTGATTGCTGCCCAGCTGCTGTTGATCGCCTCGAAACAGCTCTCGCTCTCGATCTGCATGGAAAGGATGCCATGGCACGGGGTGGGATGGCATCATGGCACAGCATGGCATGAGAGGCGTGCAAGCCCTCCCTCGGCTGCTGCCTGTTCCCTGATCAGGTTAGGGAGCACCGGTTGTCTGCACAACAGAGTACCACCGGTCAAGGCCCAGCTACTCTTCCATGGCCTGCTCCCTGATCCAGCAACAGGCTACCACGGCCCCGCTATAGTCACACCCACACACACCCATTAACGCTACCCACCTTGAAATCATGCGATATTATGCGGTAGAAGGTATCGCTGGGAACAATGTCTTCATATTGCAGGATGGGTGCCGATGCTGCAATGGCGCCCGCTGCTATGTGCGGGTACTTGAGGCGAAACCACGCTGCCAGCACTGGGGGAGAAAAAGATGAGAAGAGAGGGTATAAGAATGGGGGATGCTGAGAGGTATCGCTGGGCACAATGTCTTCATATTGCAGGATGGGCGCTGAGGCAGCGATGGCGCCCGCTGCTATGTGCGGGTACTTGAGGCAAAACCACGCTGCGAGCACTGGGAGAACACAAATAAGAACACACAAACGGACAATCAAATGAAAGGGTTTAGGGCACGAATGAATGTCGCCTGCTGTAATGTGTGTGTGCTTGAGGCGAACCATGCTACTAGCCCTGGCCCCTGGGAAAAGAAATCAAGCAAACAAACAGAAGGGAAACAAAAGAAATGCTACTAGCCCTGGGAGCCATGCTACTAGCCCTGGGAGCCATGCTAACAAACAGAGAGAGAGAGAAAGAAGAGAGAGAGAGAGAGAGAGAGAGAGAGAGAGAGAGAGAGAGAGAGAGAGAGAGAGAGAGAGAGAGAGAGAGAGAGAGAGAGAGAGAGAGAGAGAGAGAGAGAGAGAGGGAGAGAATGGGTGCTAGCAGCATGGTCCAAAGCATGCTGCTAGGACTTGAGCACTTGAAAACCCAACTGAGGAGAGAGAGGGGAAGAGTAAGTACTCAAGGGTGGTGCTCCAAGGTAAGGAGAAGTACCGCATTCCTGCGATCAAATTCTACATGCCGAAAAAAGAACGCTCTATGGAGGGGAGTTCATTACGAGGAGGTGGCGGCAATTTGCTCGGCCGTCACACGAGCTGTGCACACGGAGCTCTGCTTTCGCCCCCGTGCACAACTCCGTACGGCCGGCATGCACGGTAGCTCCGTATGCACAACCTGTGTGATGGCCGCACAAACCGCCGCCACCTCCTGCATAACGAACCCCCCCCTCATGCCCCATGAGCAGCACTGCCATGTGTGCCGTAGGCTGCTCTGTTGTGAGAACGAATAACCACTCACTTCCACCGTAGGAACCTCCAAACAGGACGACCGGAGAGTCATGCGCGAACAGGATCCCCTTGAGCGCCGTGAGAAACAACGCCATGTGCTGCCAGCCATGTGCTGCCAGCCATGTGCTGCCAGCCATGGGCCGCTCGGTTGTGAATTGAAAGGAGAACCACGGGTGGGCTAGTGCAGTGAACCCTACTGCGAAAGAGAGAAACACCACTTACTGCCGCTATATGAGCCTCCAAACAGGATGATGGGCGACTCATGCACGGACAAGTTCCCCTTAAGCGCTGTGAGGAACACCGCCATGTGCTGTGCAGACGGTCACGAGCGGGTCTTTAGTGAGGGAAGGCAAGTTGGCACTTACTGCCGCTATATGAACCTCCGAAGAGGATGATGGGCGAATCATGCGCGGACAGGTTTGCCTTGAGCGCCGTGAGGAACACCGCCATGTCCGCCATGGCTTGCTCTGCGGTGAGGCTTGTTGTGAGGGAGGGCAACAAGGCACTCACTTCCGCCGTAGGAGCCTCCAAAGAGAATGACCGGAGAGTCGTGTGCACTCAGGTTTGCCTTGAGCGCCGTGAGGAACACCGCCATGTCCGCCATGGCCTGCTCTGTGGTGAGGAAGGCGCGAGTGGACGCGTTGCTGAAGGATTCTTTCTCCGTGCCGAACGGCATGGACTCGCCATAGTACCGGTGCTGAGAGTGATTGTGATGGGAAGACGGAGAGGGAGGGGGTGGGGAAGGAGGGGAAGGGGAGGTGGAGGTGGGGGTGGTGCGGGGAATAGGGAGGGGAAAGAAGGGGTGTCAGTTTCATGCGCCTCAACAACAGTCGCCATGTCCGCCATGGCCTGCTCTGTGGTGAGGAAGGCGCGAGTTGATGCGTTGCTGAAGGATTCTTTCTCCGTGCCGAATGGCATCAACTCGTCGTAGTAACGGTGCTGGTTGTGATTGAAACGGGATGGAAAGGAGGTTCGAGGGGGTCGAGGTGCGGGAGGAAGCGGTGGGGGTGGAGAGGGAGGGTTGTCGGTTTTGGGTGTCTCAACAGTTATCGCCATGTCTCCCATGGCCTGCTCCGTAGTGAGGAAGGCCTGAGTCGATAAATTGCTGAAGGAGGCCTTTTTTGGACCGAATAGCATCGACTCGCCGTTATACCAGGGCTGTGACGGGGTGTCGGAGAGGGAGGGGTTGAGGAAGAGAGGGGGGGAGAGGAAAGGCGGGAGGAGAGAGGGAGGGGGAAAATAGGGGATGTTATATTGGTGCGCACGAACAGCAGTCACCATGTCTGCTATGGCCTGTGCTGAATGTGATTGTAATGGGGGGTGGAAAAACGGGTTCAGGACAACGTGGTCAGACTTGAACGCCGGTGGAACAAGATCCAGCAGTGGCGGACTCGAAATAGCAGACTAACATTTCTTTTATCGTCATTAACAGAAATGAAAACGTGTCGTGTCGCACTGGGTGTCTGTACTGTAGACTAATTCGACTTCCACGAGGCGGCTGTTGGTTCGGTAAAAGAATCATGGCGTGTCGCGCAGCGCGCGAACACGCACGGCTCACCTCGGGTCCCACGACAAGCGCGCCGAATTCGACGGCGATCTCGCGGATCCACCCCGCGTTGTCCATGAACCATTGGATCGGCCCCTCGTTGCCGCAATACACGAAGATCGGCGCGCCGCTCTCCGCGCCGCCCCACGCGCCGTCCCACCAGATGTACTTCTGCTGCCACGTGGCGTAACTAGACTGGGTGAACGAGAAATGGTCGAGATTCTGTGTGAAATAAGAGGCGTTCCAGGCGTAACCGCCGCGAGCTGAAGCTCCTGGCGTGGCCGGTTCGTTATAAACATCAACGCTATTCGCTTTGCGTGCGTTCGCCCGGCTTTTCTGCTGCCGATGGAACGAAGCCGGGAAGCGCGGGATGCGAATGCGCGCATCGACGCAGGCAAAAAACGCGGCCACAAGTAGGAAAAGGAGAAATGCGGACGGCTGAGATAACGCAATCCGGCGGGGGCGGGCCATGGCTGAGACAAGAGAGCCGCGAAACAGAATGCAGAAATGGAGGAATGGTGCAATAACGCCAAGTGCGGGGTCGAATTTGTGATGTGCCAGCGCTGTGTTAGAGCGGAACTTATCCGCGATTATGTCACTTTCACTGCTGTGGAAAAATGGACAGTAACTTTTTCTTCTGATGATGTGAATAAAATCCTCTTCTTGAGGCTAGCACAGCCATTTCTTGCATTTATACAGGAAGTTCAATAATATCTTGCCACATACGGTAGCAGGGCAACAGGGAAACAAACGTCACTCTGGACTCACATCAAAATGTGCACAAATTGGCTTGTGCACATAACCTGCTCCCACCAAATGAAACAAACAAATCAGGGTTAATGAATCACATGAGCCATAACATTAGATGATGCACACCCAGATTGTGTATGAACATTAGCTAAATGGAGCATGCATGCTTGACAACACAACGGGCACGTACCATATTCTTTGGAAGCTTCAGATACCCGTATAGTACGGTGCGCTCAGCAACGGCAGCAACACAGAGATGCCTGAAACACGCGACGATTGACAGCGATGGGATATCATGCAACGCTTTGCTTTGGTAACTGGGAAAACACGGGAAATTCTAACGGTGCAGAAATGGCCGCAAGAGAAGAGAAATCGATTCGGGCTGAATAAGAAATTGAGAAGCAAAGAGAGGCTTACTCTGTACAGATTGAGGAGGACTACAATGAGGATGAACGCAGCCTGCACGGCGAACGCGGTTCACAGCGAGGGCGAAAGACACGGAAGAGACGGAGGGAGAATGGCATGAAAGAAGAAAGAAATGAGCGACACTTCCGGGAACAGACGATAAAAGACTCGTACAGCACAGCGCCGTTTCGCGCAACCTGAACTCGTATCGAACTTCGCTGTACCGAGTACGAAATTACGCTCTCATATATGATACCGTGTAGACGTCTGGCGCCATCACGGCCATGGGCCCGTTTTCGTTCCGCTGCTCTCGCCGCTGGGCGGCTCGACCGCCATTCCCCGCATTCGCTGTGTAGTCAGCCAAATCTTTCCCGGGGGGTGGAGGAGCCATGGCGAACAAATCTACGCAGCGTCTAGTTCACTAGGCTCCCTAACGCGAATTAGTACGTAATGTCACGCAAAAGCCTGTCACATTGGGCTTACAGTCCCGTCAGCAACTAGTCACTAGGTCCTGAGGTGAAGGCGGCAATAGGATCCCAACAGCTAACCCTAGCATCAAACGAAAATGGACTTGTGATTCGTGAATCATGGCGTGAATGGTGATGGGCGGTAGGGTGAAGGGGGGGGTATTCGGCTATAGACGAAGAAAAATGAAGCACATGATTGAAGGAAAGGAACGTGGGTTAACCTCAGTAAGGTTACGAAGGCACTTACAGAGGTTTTATAGTTTCTCTTGCGTTGCAGAACGATTGGCTGGTTTGTCTAGTCGCATGGGTCGTGTTCAGGCGCAATGAATTTTTCTGGGCGTGCAGTCCATTTCATCGCGACCAATTTTGAGGGCAGCTTCGGAACATCGTCCCCCACCACCTCATTGTACCCTTTTGAGGAACACCAAGAATGCCCTGAAAATGGAGAGTACATTCTAGAATATGAAGAAAAATGTACTACTATATTATACAGTTTTCCATGATATAGGACCCTTTGGATTTTTATAAATCCTAAAAAAATGATAAACAAAAGCAATTCACGTTTTACAAAACTGAAGCAAGTTTCGCATGTGGTATCTCTGTCTCGCCCTCAAATGCCCCTACTCCCTCATAATGTCAAATAAAGAACACCGTAATCGTCACACGCGCTCGGCCGTACTTCGCGCGCCACCTGACCTCTGGCACAAACTACTCGGTCACCCCTCCCTCGAAGTCTTGAAAAACTGCATCAACGTCATAGTCTTCACACCCAACGTTTTTATTCAACCAGATCGCACCGAGCTGGCTGCAACCAATGCTCATCCTTCCTGCACAACCTGCCCACAAGCCGCGCTTCTCCATCAACATCGCGTACAGCAGCAGCCGTTGTTTGCCTGTTACTGCTAACAAGGCTTCGCCAACTTTGCGCCCACGGATTTACCAAACCATGCACCGCTGTTCCGGCCGAGTCGGCCTACGCTTTGGGACTAGCCCGAACCTCGATGCCAGCCTAGCACTAGCTAGCTCGCTCATGTTTTCAAACATAAGTATTTGCTCATGCCTTCGCTCATACTTTGTACTCGTTTGACACCTAGTACAATCCTCGCTATTTCGTTCCATCGCACCCTTAACACTTAGAACCAGAGCCACTTTCTTTTCGGACCGCGCATCTCCGCACCCCAGGAAATCAACTTTTGATTTTTGCACTCGAAGGGACTCACGCCCCTTAGCACTGGAGCCGCAGTCTTAACGTTCTCGAGTAAACGCGTGCAGCCACGACCGCGCCTAGACTAAGCTGAGACGACACCTTTCGAAATGGTCGAGCATATCGACGTTACGACGCTCAACAAAACGACGTCGCACGAGCACAACAAGCACAATCACAAGGCACGCAAGGACAACCTGCACGACAAACTTTGCAACACGGAAGGGTAGGGCAACCCTAGAGCGCGGCTAGTGATGGCGCCGCCCGCAACGAAGGAGACGACGACCACGGTGCGATAGATTGCGGAACGACGTTTGCGGACAGAAGAAAAATTCGCGTCACGATTTTGGTGCTGACCGACGAGTCAACACTACCGTCGCCGATATAGCTGAAGTCGTTGCGTTTGCCTTGCTTTGACCCGAGTCAACGGGGTGGTCCTACCGTTCAGGCGTGCTTATTCACCATAAATGATTTCTTCGACGCGAACTACATCTCTGAGGATATGGCGAAGATTTGTTACACCGCGTCGCTGCTGCGAGGACCCGCCATGGATTGGTGGCACGTCATTGTCACGAAATAGGCAGACTACGCGACTCTACCGACACAGGAAGGACAAACCGGACTCTGAGCACCATCGTATTTCGTGGAGGTGCCCCAATATCGCACGTGGGACGCGTGGTCCACAGGTCTACGCGCACGATTTAAGCGAATTGCGGCCTCGATCGCGACGCGTCAGAAGCTCGGTGCCAGCTCGGTTCCGTCCAGGACTAGACCGGCGGGTTTCTGGAACTGTGTAAGCAGGTGGGCTATATGCATGAAGGCGAGCGCATCGACCGCTACCTGGGAGGCCTAAAGCAAGAGATTGCCCAGGGAATCCAGCTTCGCAACGTCATTGAATTTCAGGAGATTCTCACCATGGCGGAGAAGCTCGACTTCTTACGCCGACCGAGACCGGGGGCCTTTGGCAAAAGCAGTAGCTGGTGACATCGGCCTAGTGGGACGAACGAGCATGCCATGATACGTGCCGTCACCGCGAATGCCGCTACCTCACCGTTTAAAGGGCTCTGTTTCCCGTGCAATCGGCCGGGACACCGCAAAAGCGAATGCCCGGAAAACGCTAAGGGATAGGGAGAAGCTGGGCAACAGAAACAGACCAAGCAGCAGGGAAACGCTGGGAGTCAGTAGCAGACAGGCCCTCTATTGACAGGTCACGCCGCTTGGCCGACCCAACCGACCCTCACCGAGTGATTGTGCCGGTTCACGCAATCGACCACACCCGGCCGAACAAGGAGGGTACCACGATAGACAGCCTCATACTGCTTAGCGAAAAATCGGAAGAGAGTTATTTAAAATCTTCGTAGACGGGGGGACCAGCCACAACCTCGTCAACACTGCCACAGCACGAAAGTTGAAAATGCCACTGGACAGATGCTTACCTAAGATCGATGCAAGACTGGTCAAGGGCACACCACTAGCGATACGGGAACGCATGGACTGCGTTTGGATTCGCTACTGGGGTAATTTCACGTTTAGCCAGGAAATGCTTGCAACGAACCTCGACGGAACCAACATTTTACTCGGACGTGATTGGCTGTGACGACACAAACTGAGAAACGACTGGACGATGGGTGACAACACTGTGCGAGTGAATGGTAACATCATCGCCTTACCTCGCTGGGGCTTACCTGAGTCTTCGTCGGTGCATGTCAACGCGATCACGATGAAAGGCTCTATAGCGACAGAAGCTGACGCGTATGCCGTTGACATTTGGGAAGCCGAGGCAGCAGACAAGGGGAGTTATTCACAGAAACTACTAGCTGACGTACCAGATGACTAGGTAGCACTACTGGAGCGGTATAGTGGAATTTTTCTAAACGATCTGACGACAGGACTGCCGCCTCAGCGACTGCACGACCAATGGATAGAGGTAGAACCAGGGGCACAGCCGACGAACTACGAAGGCAGCTAGATTACCTGCTCAAAAAGGAGTTCATTTCTCGTCACCCTTCGCCTGTGAGGATCTTAGGATCGAGCTCAGAAAAGAGAATGGAATTGAATGTTTCACCTGGGTACAACGCGAGGCTATATATAGGCTCGACACAAGGCCTAGTAACCAGGTGTTACGCGAAGGTTCCGAGGGTCGCGAAGCGTCCCGAATAGAGCCTTTCCGAATTCGGTAGAAGGCAATTCGGTGGCAACCGAAAAGCCTAGAATTCGGTGTACGCAACCTAGTTCGGTGCCTATAACTATAATAACTATAGTAAAAGCAACGAAACTATGAAATCTAGCAAAAGCAAGCAAAATAAAGCAAAGCTAAGCTAGATAATGCATAATAAAGTAAAGGCAAGCTAGCAAAGCCAGCATAAGCCGTCGTACTCTCACACGTCCCCCCCTCAAAGCTGGGTGGCGTGAGATACACCCTGCTTGACAAGATAGTCCTTGAGAGCACTGCGTGCGTTAACTGTCCTCAGTGGGGTCGTATCCCTTCCAGCGTATCAGGAACTCGAGGGTCTTGCCGCCGCGGCGCCGATGAGTGAGAACGCGCTCGATCTCGTACTCTGGTTCATCCTGCACAAGAACAGGTGGTGGTGGCGGTAGCTGCCGTCCCTGGAATTGTTGGTTGGGGTCCTTGTAGGGTTTCAGTAGCTGAACATGGAAAGTGTTGTGAAGCTTCCACGTATCTGGTAAGCGCAAGCGGAATGTAACTAGTGTCACCTGTGCCTCCCCGAGGAAAGGACCACAGAAGCGAGGCCGGAGTTTGGATGGTAGGTGAGACAGGTTCAAGTTGCGCGTGTCAAGAAGCACCTGATCTCCGACTGCTACTGAGTGATCACGTCGCTGGCGATCGGCATACTGCTTCTGGGAGTTTTGCATCGTGGTGAGACGTCACTGAGTCTTCTCCCATAGCTGCTGCATGGTGGTGACGAAGTCGTGTGCGGCTTGGACGTGTGTCGGTGTGGTTGGCTGCTGTTGTCAGAATCAACGGACTGGAATGGGCTGAACTAACAAGGAAGGCAGTACAAATGGGAAACCCTAGAGATGTGTACCCCATATAGTCTAACCCACTGTAGCCTAACAACAACCAACATATATAATGTTTGACACACCCCCATAGGCAAAGTGGGGGAGACCTAGGGGTCACAAGACCAGTCAAGGCAAAGCAAGGCAAACAAGCTCAGGGTGGATCTCAAGGATTCCACACAAATTCCGAGCACAAGCTAGTGGTCAGTGACAACAGTAGCTAGGAGACGCGTGACAGTAGGGTGCTCAGCACGATACCGGTCAGACTCAGGGTCCGGAACGTCAGGCAAAGAGGACGCAGGAGGAGACGGTAGAGGGACACGCTGAGGAGCAGTAGAGGGACGCAGAGTCATGTAGTGAGTGCCTGGGACAGGAGGAGGACGCTCACGGCGGACACGACTACCAGTGCGAGCAGTACGAACAGGCGACGCAGGACGAGACTCAGGCTCACGACGCTCTGTAAGACCTCCTGTGGGACCAGTGTAAGGAGAGGGAGCAGGGAGAGGCGAGGCAGGCGGTAACTGTGACTGCAGCTGAACAGGCGGAGGACACTCTACGGAGGGAGGAGGACAAGGAGGAGGAGCCTGCCCAAGAACCTGCTGAAGGAGCGGCACGAAGTACGGTCGCGGCCGCGCAGTGTCTCCAGAAGCAGTAGAGACTCCAGCGGCCGGGTCCTCAGTACCAGCAGGAGCTCCAGCG